TGTTCTTCTTTTTCGTTGAGTATTAATCGAATAACCTTCCTTCTCAATTTAACTTTTCTGTGTTAATTTCTGTTCTCGATTTCTATTCTTCATCATTGGTCCGACCTGCTTGTGATTCTTCCATGCCTCCAATGGAGACACGTGCTCAACAMACTCGCGTGGATCAGCATGAGGAACAGATTATGAAGCTTCAATCAGATGTGGTGGAAATCAAGACAGCGGTGCTGGCGATCGAAACAGAGATGCAGAGTGAGGCGGAATTTCGTAAGTTCGTTATGGCTTGGGTTGCGAAACAGGATAAACATCCTTCTTCGGACGAGGGCGGGGTTTCCGGCGTTTCTGCGGTTTCTCCTCATCCTCTGACGCCGTCATCCAAGGGTCATGCGGGATTGGTGGGTGAAGTTTCGACTCCTCTGTCCATGCCTCCACAGCGAACGGAAACGCTTCCGTGGGCAGTGAAGAAGGTGAAGTTGCCAGAGTTTTCAGGATTTGATCCACAGGGATGGATTCAAAAGGCTGAGTTGTACTTTGAGATCAATAACACGCCTCTGGATTTGCGTATCAGATTAGCGCAATTGAGCATGACGGGGGTTGCTGTTCATTGGTTTACCATTGTGAAACAAGTTTATGACTCTCTCACATGGGAACAATTAACAACCGAGCTTCTGCAACGTTTTAGCGGGCTGGAAATTCAAAATCCGTTTGAGAAATTGGCAACCATCAAACAGGTATCCTCTATTCATGATTACATCGATGACTTTGAATATTTACTATCCCTGGTTCCCCGATTACCAGAGGAACAATCGTTGGGATATTTTTTGGCTGGTTTGCGTGATGATGTCAAGCAGTGGGTCCGTTTACATCGGCCTAAATCGCGCTTAGACGCGATGTACTTGGCGAAGGATGTGGAGGAAATGCTCCGTCCGTCRTCTGGTAGCAMTTCGCMGTTCCGTTTCCGGTATCATACGGGTCCGGGGCCTGGAATGAGCTTCACAGGGGTGGAGCGGGCTGCGTATACGAGCCCTTCGGATTCTCGAGGAGCCCAAAATATTCCTGCTACTAATAAACCATCTCCTTCACAAATCGGTCAAAACAAATCGTTCCCTAATTTTCGTCCTCCGGTGAGTGCTTCCACCGAGTTTGGGAACCTGTTTAATCGTAATCGTGGGGTCCGTTCTCTTACCCGTTCTGAATGGGATGAACGACGAAAGAAGGGCTTATGTTTTCGGTGTGGGCAACAATTTGGTCCGGGTCATAAATGCCCGGAAGGCAAATTACGGATCTTACTTTTGGGGGACGATGAACTGCTGGAAGAGGAAGGGAAAATTCACAATATRGAATTTGTTGAGGATCAAGGGGTAGCTGAAGAGGAGACCGGCCTTACTGGAAGTTTTAACTCTTTGGAGTTGTTGGGAACTCCTTGGGCAACGAATTCGGGTGGTAAGACTCTTAAGCTCGAGGGGTCCATTTCGGGCATTCCTCTGATTATCTTAATCGACAGCGGCGCTACACATAACTTCATATCTCGAAAATTGGTGATGGCTTTGGGACTCCCTATTCGCCTTATTCCAGGTATTTCTATTCAAGTTGGAGATGGATATAAGGTCCTGGTTACTCAAATGTGTCCGAATCTCAAGGTGTCTATTGGAGAATGTGAATTCACGGTTAATGTCTTGTTATTCGACATGGGGCCTCTAGATTTGGTGTTGGGAATAGAATGGCTTAAGTCTTTGGGAGAGGTGGCGCATAATTGGGAAACTCTGTCTATGCGATTTGTGTATCGTGGAGTTTCCGTATGTTTTCAAGGAATATCCGGGCCGTTGAATGCTCAGTCCTCTTTGCATAGTTGGCTATCTTTAGACGACTATGCTGATAATTTTAATGTCGCTTCTGCTGAGTCGGGAAGATCGCCGAGGGAACCGCCCCTGTCCGCTCTGCAATCTCGTGAACTACAGGAGGTGTTTGATCGATTCAAACCTGTGTTTGAGGAGCCAAAAGGATTACCACCGAGCCGGACTCATGATCACAATATCACTCTCATATCACCTCAGGAACCCATATGTGTGAGACCGTAYAGATACCCTCACATTCAGAAAGAAGAAATCGAGCGTCAGGTACGAGAATTATTAGCCTTGGGAATGATCCGACCCAGCAAAAGTGCCTTTTCGAGTCCTGTTATTTTGGTTAAGAAGAAAGATAATTCTTGGCGTATGTGTGTAGATTATCGAGCCCTTAATAAAGCCACGATTCCGGACAAATTTCCCATTCCTGTTGTTGAGGAATTGTTAGATGAATTAAAAGGGGCTCGATTTTTTTCTAAGMTGGATTTAAAATCCGGTTATAATCAAATCCGRATGAAGGTCGATAGTGTGGAGAAAACGGCTTTCCGCACTCACGACGGGCATTACGAGTATTTGGTAATGCCGTTTGGCTTAACCAATGCTCCGGCCACCTTTCAAGCGGTGATGAATGAGATATTCCGACCTATTCTTCGTAAGGTGGTGGTTGTTTTTTTTGATGACATTCTGGTATACAGCTCCTCGTGGCCTCAACATCTCAAGGATTTGTCTCATGTGTTGCAAATTCTAATGACCTATCAGTTCGTGGTCAACCACAAAAAATGTTCGTTCGGTCAACGGTTGATCAATTATCTGGGTCACATAATTTCTGGTGAAGGGGTGGCTATGGACCCCGAGAAAATAACTGCCATTCTCGATTGGCCACCTCCTAAGAAGATAAAAGGATTAAGGGGATTTCTGGGCCTTACGGGATACTACAGAAAATTTATTCGCAACTATGGAAGTATAGCGAAACCATTGACCGAGCTAACCAAAAAAGATGCTTTCCTTTGGAGTGAGGAGGCTCAAGTGGCTTTCGAMGAGCTYAAGCAGGCTATGGTTTCTGCCCCGGTGTTAGCATTACCTGATTTTAAATTGCCTTTCGTGGTAGAATGTGATGCGTCGGGTAGAGGCATCGGCGCTGTTTTGATACAGCAACAGAAACCCATCGCGTTCTTCAGTAAGGCCCTTAGTGACCACAATGTGAGTAAATCGGCGTATGAACGCGAAATTATGGCTTTGGTGTTAGCCGTGCAACATTGGAGAGCGTACTTGTTGGGTACACATTTCGTGGTGTACACAGATCAAAAAAGTTTGAAGTTCCTATTGCAGCAACGAATTTCGAATCCAGGCCAACAAAATTGGATTGCGAAATTGCTGGGATACAATTTCGATATTTGCTACAAGCCGGGCAAAGAAAACAGGGTTGCAGATGCTCTTTCTCGACGTAGTGATGATGGCGAGCTGTCGCAATTGGTGTCAACACCAATCTGGGTTCAAGGGTCCCAATTAATTAAAGAAGCAAAAGCAGATGCGGACCTTCAAAAGATCGTTCAGGGATGGGATCGCAATCCTGCTGATTTTCCCTGTTATGAGGTGAAAAATGGTATCCTTTACTATAAGGATCGACTAGTCATTCCCCGTACCTCGAAGTTTATTCCGGCATTGTTATCGGAGTTTCATGTTACGGCCTCGGGGGGCCACTCAGGATATTTGCGCACTTATAGGCGATTGGCTGCAAACCTCTATTGGTCCGGGATGGTTGCTCGGGTACAACAATTCGTGCGGGATTGTGACATTTGTCAGCGTTGCAARGCCAGTTCTACGGTCCCTGGGGGTCTGTTACAGCCTCTAAATGTTCCAGAAGCTATCTGGGAACACCTTTCTATGGACTTTGTTTTGGGTCTTCCAAAGTCTAAAGGTTTTGATGCAGTATTGGTGGTGGTTGATAGGCTTTCAAAGTATAGCCATTTCATTTTGTTGAAACATCCTTATTCGGCTCGATCAGTGGCCRAAATTTTTGTTCGGGAAGTCATCCGGCATCATGGCATTCCGAAGTCGATTGTCAGTGACCGAGACCCACTCTTCCTCAGCCACTTTTGGCAGGAAATTTTCCGGCTACAAGGAACGAAATTGCACATGAGCTCGGCTTACCATCCTGAATCTGATGGGYAAACAGAGGTCATTAATCGCTGCCTRGAAGCTTATCTACGGTGTTTTGCGACCGATCAACCAMGRACTTGGGCTTCTTGGGTGCCGTGGGCAGAATTCTGGTACAACTCGTCTTACCATGTGTCGACAGGGAAATCCCCATTTGAAATTGTTTATGGAAGAAAGCCTCCTTCGATCGTGCAGTTTATTCCAGGTGAAGTACGAGTAGAAGCAGTTGGGCAGGAACTTCGAGACCGTGATGAAGCACTCAAGCAGCTCCGGACTCACCTACTTAACTCTCAAATGGTTATGAAGGAGCAAGCGGATAGAAAAAGGAAGGATGTTAGTTTTGACGTTGGGCAATGGGTTTATGTCAAGCTTAAACCATACCGACAGATGTCCGTAAATCAACGTATTCACCAGAAATTGGCGGCACGATTTTTTGGACCTTTTCAGGTTTTGGAACGCATTGGTCCGGTAGCTTATAAAATCCAACTTCCACCCGACTCACGGATTCATCCCGTGTTTCATGTGTCGTTATTAAAGAAGGCGGTGCCACCCGATAAGACTGATATGAGGTTACCTCCTGATTTAGAGCTCGCCGCAGACGATGTGGCGATTCCTGAGAGTGTTTTGGCTGAACGCACCGTTCTGGTGCAGCATGAGTCCGTACTGCAATGGCTTATCAAATGGAAGGGGCGTCCAGGGGACGAAGCGACGTGGGAAGATGCGGTAACGATTCAGAACCAGTTTCTGGATGTCAATCTTGAGGACAAGATTGGTCTGGAAGGGGGGAGTAATGATAGGGATCGTGATCAAATAGTTAAAGGAGAGAAAGTATTAAAAGTCTATACTAGGAGGGCTAAAAAGGGGCAATCTGGAAGTGGCTAATTCT